TAGCCCTCTCCATAGCTCGCTGGGCGACCTTGAGCTTCCTCATACGGCCAGCAGTGAAGGACCACGTCTCTGATCCGTAAGTCATCACTGGCAACACGCACTGGTTGTACAATTTCGTTTTCAGGTTTTGAGGTATGTCTAACGAGAAGGTGTGCCGTAGTTTCCCGAACGCTGCCCAGCCGCATAATAAACATTTATATTCATTAAATACATTTAAATTAAAAATTCGCGTCAGAGAATAACAATTAATAATAAATGTTTAAATATAAATTCCAACATGATTAGAAAATTAAATTTTTTGATGTTCATATAGGAATAACATTCTTGCGCCACTTGCTATCAGCTGATTTTGAAATACAAGTTTGTTAGTCTTTAATAAATTAGTTTTTCAAGCAATTATTTTAGTGCATTATTTTCAATAGGAATGAAATTAAAATTAATAATTGATTTCAAAATATTATATGCAATGAAAATTGTGTAAAGTTTCTTGATTTTTATAAATAACTGTTTTTACCATGTCGTATAAACCAGATATAAATTTTTGCTATGATGAAGAGTGCTGTAAAAAATGCGAGTATTCTGATACTGCGGTCGTCACTTTAATAGTTATTGTCCTAAAATATTTTTCCGGAATAAAATTATGACGATATTTTTTTTAAATTTTAAACAAAATTAAATTCATAGCAAGTGCTCTCTAGATATATACATGTACATTACCATAGAAACCTTCGCTAAAGCGTGTATACAAGATATTGAACCTTCCCACAGGCGAGGTCATATTGGTTGTGGAGCAGTGAAAGTTGTCATGTTACTTCAGTTTTTGCTCGACTAACCTGTAACACGCGTTAGTACATTTAGTTACTTTTAATATCAAAATTACGAGCTATATTTATATATCACAGTTGCTGTTGCAGTTCCTGTAGTCATAGCGTCTGTATACATACTTTTAAAAATACTTGTGAGCCTAAAATATCAAGGTTGAAATTAAAATTAATGTAGAAATTAAAAGCCAGTTAGGGCAATCTGCATTTTAAATAAATTTTATAGTATTTATAGTATTCATTTATTATAATTTGAAACCGCTCTGCAATACCGGCCATTTCAAATCAAAATAATTTTTGTTTGGCTAAAAATTCTAATTTCAAATTAATTTTATTTTAAATACATGGAATTCTTTTTTCTAAATTAGTCATTTTTATTGATTTTTTTATAGGACAGGGTGACAAACGAGCACACAGTTCACCTAACGGTAAGTGGTCGCTGTGACCCACAGACATGTACATTTATCCTCAATAAAGAATCAAAATGCAGATGCGTCGTCACCCGTGAGGACTAAGATGGAATGCCTCTTTTACAAAAAAATGCGAAACACAGCAGTGTCAAGCTGCCATTTTACGATGGTATTCTGTGAGAGCGTGGTCCTTCCTCGGTCGAGCCGGCCCATTCGTGCTACAACCATATACAGCTGCAGCATGGCTCTGCCACGTAAAAAATCCTCTAACACGTACCTAAGCAGCATGTCTGACTAATTCCTCTATAACACTCTCAGAAAAGACTGACGCAGCTCAGGGGATCAGTAGATTGAAGTAGCTTTGAGCATGGCTCTACCATGATTAGCATTATGTTTCCATCGCATTTGAATCTTTTTCATCATCATGGATACGTTAAAAATTCGAGTAATTATGAAATATTTGTACCATCGTGGCAGCAACGCGGCACAAGCAGCACGCAACGTCAATGACGTTTACGAAGCGAATATATGTACTAGAAACGAACGCACCACCTGTTGTTGATTTGCCCTCTTTTGTTCTGGAAATTTTTACCTGATAAATGAACCCCGTGGTGGTCCGAAAACTTTGTTCGACAATGACGAATTAAAGGCGATTTTGGAAGCAGGTGATACTCAATCTACAGCTCAATTATCAGCAGCTTTCGACGTTGAAATCAAAACAATATTGGATCGTTTGACAAATGGGTGCCCCACGAACTCAATGATCGCCAGTGCGAAGTACGCGTCGAGACGTGCCTTGCACTGCTCAGCAGGCACACAAAAGCAAGCATTTTGAACCGCATTCTGTTTGACAATCGCAAGCGCTCATAAGTTGGTTGGATCCTGGATCAGCACCACACCACAATGCCTTCAACAAAAACTTACCTCTAGAAAAGTTATTGGTTGCTGTTTGGTTGTCTAGCGCCGGTGTGATTGATCACAGCTTCTTACCAAACGGGATGAGCATTACTAAAGAATCGTACTGTGAAGAACTGAACACCATGATGGAGAAGCACACACGTCTCCAACCAGTCTTGGTCAATCGCTTGTCCCCGCTGCTCATACATGACAACGCGCGACCTCGTACTGCACAACATGGTCTCCAAGTTACAAGAGCTGGGTTTGGAAGTTCTATCTTCCGCCGTACTTACCAGACTTTGAGCCTACAGACTTCTACTTTTTCCAGAATTTGGATAACTTTTTAAAATGCCTTTAAAGAATTTGTTACCTCCGCTCCAGCTGATTTCTTCAAGAACGAAATCAATAAATGCCACTGCGTGGGCAAAGATGCATCTATTGCATGGGTGATTACTTTGATTAATAGAAATGAAATATATAGAAAAAATAAAATAAGTTAACTTATTTAATAAAAAATGGCAATTTAATAGGTAGGTAAAAACATAATATTAACAAGCTACAGTGCGATTGTGTAACTCTGAGTAGATTACGAACTATGACGTTTGACGTTTGGTTTCATTGTAATGCGTGAATGTATCGGTATCGATCATAAGTCAATGTTGTTTTTATATAAACATCTTATTTTTTACATCACACCACCGTAACAAATCAGGGGAAAAGTAAGCAATGCACAATTAATGCTTTGGTCATGGAAGAAAGTTTTTTAGACGGTGAATTTCTGGCTAGTATTAATTTGTTACTTGGGCATACAGCTCAACGTGGAGCCATTGTTTAAGTCAAGATCCTTAACAGAAGCGCATAAATCCAAAATAGAGCCATTGAAACGATCAGATTCAGAAATTTAGTATCCAATTTTTTAATTATCCGATGGCTACCTACTTATATGGCCTGATACTTGGATGGATTAACAGTAAAAGTAAACCTGTTAGACCATCTCTTATCATGCACTAGGTCCCTGTTGACCATATCCACCACGGCGAATACGCAATCAACATTCGCCAGTGCCAAAGAGATTTAAATATATAATTAGTTAGATATATAAGCTAACTATTTAAATGTCTTTGACCTGTGCGTATAAATGTAGGTCGTCGGCACATAGATGATACGCACAATGAAGGTTGGGGATACTAAGATTATTAAATACGAAAATAATGACACCAGGATGTATGTCACACCACCTTGATTCAGACTCATCATTTGGAGGACCGACTGCTGACCTCCTCGAAGATAAGTTGAGAACCAATCCAGTACTTCGAAATAAATTATGGATTAGATAAGGATTGAAAGTAGAACGTCATGTATTGAAGGCATTCGAAAAGTCAACCAAAGTCAGCACAGCACACTGACTTTGGTGTCCTCCATGAACGTCCTAATATCACCAGTGACCTTTTTTATTGTTGTGAAAACAGTTTTCCAACGCATATGATTGTAAAATTAGTTTGGGTATTTGTATTTAAGTTACAATTCTAAGTCGTTTTCTGTAGAGATATTTAAAATACATATTATGATACTGTAATATTTAACGTTTTTAGAGCATTCTTTCTTCGAATATGGTTGTTACTTTACAATATTTTGTCTTAATTTATGTATATATGAACCGTTTTGTCAGAGAACGATAAAACAGCTAATGAGCCTATTTTTCTACTACTTTTTATTAAAACTAATTTTTTAAAGTAAATATACGCGGAAATAAATATATTTCTCTCGCTTATTTTTCAATTTTATATTTATATAGCGCCTATCATTATCATCATCATCTTTATAGCCTATTACAAGTCCACTGCTTAAGATTGGCTTCCCCCACATACATCTATCGACTTCCTGCATCTCTTACCAGGTCGCCCCTCCATCCAGACGGGGCTGCCCTATACTTCGCTTTTTGGTACGAAGCTGCTACCTATGAACCATTCTTTCGGTTGTCGGTTATTCCGAACTATATGGCTGACCCATTGCCACTTCAGCTTACTGACCCGTTGCGTCTGTTTCGTTTACTCCTGTTCTGCTGCGGATAACCTCATTCCTAAGTCTTCCTCGCAGAGAAGCTTCGAGCACAGGCCTCACCGAGCTATCTTGAGCTTACACATACTGCCAACAAAGACTTAAGGACCACCTTTTTATTCATATGTCATCACTGGCAATACAATATACAATACAATACAATTAAAAATAAATTTTCTTCTGTTTTTTTTTTTAAATTCATTCCTTTTTGGAACGAAGTTCCTTATCGCACGGTACGAATTTGACGGATGGGGAGCGAGAAAAAGTGTAAGATTTTTCCGTTACGACCCCCTTTCTATAGTGCGAGTGAGATGGAATAATATCCATCTCCCTCACACTTTTTCTTATCTTGCCATGAAAGAAATATTTTTTTAAATGACGCTTCATTTTAATAGACGCTAATTATTTATTTATTTGTATTTTTTATTCAATAATATATGTTTATCAGTAATAATACACTACGAAAGGAACTTCGTTCCAACAGAGTGTTCCACGACACTCACGCATGTTTTTTTTTAATTTATTTATATTTCAATTCATTCCTTTAATGAAGTACCCCAACTAGCAAGTACTCGTAATTACTGGTAAAATATTTGTTTATACTAACCACGTTCGCGTTGGTGGGCGTTGTTTGTTAGTATAAATATCTGAAAAAAGTTGGATTTGAGTTCATAATGTTATATCACCCCTTGTCTCGTTATTCGTTAGATAGAGGTATGCACACTGAACTGTGTGCAAGAGAGGTTAGCATTTGGAGAAATTATCCCCTTAGTCCTTAAAAAATAACTATAAGGATATTTTTTTTATATTTCAGCTCCACTTGACAGTCTACTACGAAAGTAAATGTCCGGACAGCAAAAAGTTCATTCTCGAACAACTACAGCCGACTGTTGAGCTATTACACAAGTATGTAAGGCTAAGGCTGATTCCCTTTGGGAAATCAATGGTAAGTTTCTGTTTTTCTATTTTTATCGCGTTTTTTATTTGAGAATTGTAAGTTTCGCAGAAAAACTTATGACTGTCTTGACAATTGATAGCGAAAATATGAGTAAAAGTTTTAGTAAAAGCCTTGTTTAGTAACTAGACCTCCTTGTAGCAAACAAACAATGCTGTGAATTGTTCTTATTTACTTACACATATTTTTCATAACTTCTGTTATAAAGACAAGGCGATAATAGAAAGAGACATAAATTATTTATTTTAACCTAAACCAAATAGATTTCATTATCTTTTTTACAGAGTATAGATTATGGGGATGAAGGGTTCCAATGTCAACACGGCCCTACGGAATGTATGGGCAATTTAGTTCAGGACTGCGCACTCAAATACATGAGAAAACATAACGATGTGCAACGTGTGAACTACGTCGTTTGTGAGATGGAATTAGAAGCTGGAGCTATGGGAAATCTAGGCGTAAGTCTTAATTCATTGAACCTTCAATGTAACTATTGGACACGGGCCCACTCCCATTGCCGAGAGAACTTTAGAGCTGTTAGTCCAGTGTGATGCTTCAGTGCGTATTGGTGGACTTCACATGTCCTCAAAATATTTCCCAGACGTGCAGCTTTCCTCACGATGTTTTCCTTCACAACCGTCGTCGTGGTAAATCAACATTTTAAAATGCACATTTTATTGGTGGTTGGAGATTAAACTCGCATAATTAAAACGAATTCTTAATGTAGAAATATCCCGACCGATGAAGGGGAGCTGCGTCAGAAGTTCGATACGTCTTTTACTGCAATGAGTGCCTGTCAAGCATGCGATTAATTCTCTCTACTATGGGAAAAGCACATGGCCAACGATGTTTTGTTTATTGACTGAAAAGATGGAGAATCCCTTAGGATAGGATAGGATCGGATCAGTCTTTTAATCTCATACATAATAAAATACGTGAGTATCGCTGTATGAAAATAATCCCGTATAAAGAAAAGGAAACTGCAAAATCTTAGAGATTCACTTCTGTTAAATCAAGATACGTATCAATCTCGAAATATCAAAGAAATCTTTATTACAATCTTCAACTTTTTAAACTGAGAATACTTATATCATATTTTATTTCAGTGTGTAAAACATGCCAGATTGCCGACGGATGACGTAGAGCGGTGCGTGTCGACTGGCGAAGGTATTGCTCTACAACTTGACTCCGAGTATCACACAAATTCTCTGAAGCCCCAGTTCATACCATCGATAACTATCAACGGGGTAATTGTTTGGTTTTTATGTATTATGCAGACTATAATTAAAGAAGGAAGACACTAATTTTTCTACAACTGCTAACCTTTCACTTGCGTTACACGGCGTCCTGCTAACTAATTGAACTAACTGATGGGCCCTCTGACGATTGAGTGAAAATCAGTGATTTTTCGGTGCGAGGATGTCGATATTTTCTCACTGGTAACACTGCTTTGTTCACTGTGTTCACCATAAGCGTGTTGGTTGTGGGCAACTATTCTTTCAATCATATTATATTTTATCGATGAGCTATCTGCTAGAAAAAGTAATTTTTTTCTTCTTTTTGTGTTAGTAAATTTTGTACCTTAGTGAAAGGAATAGGGATTTTTCAAGATTATTATTAGCTCAGAATTGGTCAAATTCAATTCCAGAGCAAGTACATATAGTTCAAGGCTAAAATAATAGTTCATTAATTTATTTATAAATTACAGCACATCAAATGTCCACTGCTGAACATAGGCCAACCTTATAGCCTACAGCCTCAGTAAATACATCTTGACGAGATTGGATGATCCATTCTACACGGACGTCACTTCGTGTGATAAAGGGCTTAACCCTCTATTATTAGCGAACAAGTAGTGGCGAGACCTGACAGCAAAGAGCATTTCCGACCGGATGGAAAGAGAAGGAGCTGCACGGCAGGTTTTACAAGGCTTTATATGAGTCTTTAGTAGATACAGTCGCCTACCTCCACTAGCTACGACTCGGTGACCTCTTTGGGGAAACCGAGGGTTTTGTCTATACCATACAGGATCAGGTTATTAAGACAAGCAATTATCGGAGATACATCCTAAAATATATGAAATGAAAATAAAGAAAATGTCCCTGTTGTTCGGCGCTTCCTAACTCTGAGTGCTTGCACATACACAACCTAGTAGCCAGGATACTACATCAGGAGCTTGCTCTGAAAAACAGTCTCGTGGATCGGAAACTGCTTTATTATAAGTACTTGCTGAAAGCCGTGCTCGAAAATGACCGCGCCATCTTCACAAACAAGACTACACAAAAACATTTTTGATCGACATTACCATTCCGTATGACGAGAACCTCGTATAAGCCGAAACAACAAACAAAATTTCTGAACTTGGCTTACGGGTTGACCGACATTTGGGGTGGTTTCCTAATCGAAATTATTCCTGTAGTCGTTTCTGTAAACAGGTCAGCCTCTCGGCTTATCTGAGGCGACTGGGACTCTGTGGCGGACGGCTACAGGCTCAAATGCAGAAGGTGGTGCTCCTCGGTACCGCCCGCATCGTCCGCCTATTTCTTTCCCTTTCTCCCTAACCCGTTTGTTCTACCTTGCCGAGGGTAAATAAATAAAAACCCAACCAGTTTTTATTTATTTATATATTATTTATCATGCAGCCCAACCAGATGAAAAAACTACAAGAATACACCACATAATATATATATATATATATATATATATATATATATATATATATATATATATATATATCAGACATACCTCAAAACCTTAAAACGAAATTGTACAACCAGTGCGTGTTGCCAGTGATGACTTACGGAACTGAGACGTGGTCCTTCACTGCTGGCCGTATGAGGAAGCTCAAGGTCGCTCAGCGAGCTATGGAGAGGGCTATGCTCGGAGTTTCTCTGCGTGATAAACTTAGGAATGAGGATATCCGCAGTAGAACTAGAGTGACCGACATAGCCCAACGGATTAGTAAGCTGAAGTGGCAGTGGGCCGGCCATATAGCTCGAAGAACCGACAACCGATGGGGAAGAAAGGTTCTCGAGTGGCAGCCTCGTACCGGTAGGCGAAGTGTAGGGCGTCCCCCCACGAGATGGAGTGACGACCTGGTAAGACATGCAGGAAGTCGATGGATGCAGGTGGCTCAGGACCGTGCTTTGTGGCATTCATTGGGGGAGGCCTATGTTCAGCAGTGGACTTGTGAAGGGCTGTAATGATGATGATGATGATATATATATAATATCTTTTCGGTTTAAAACTTAGGGCTTTTATTCTTGGGCTTGATATCTTGAAATCTTGACTTATTTTATTATGTACATAGTTACTTGTACTCTACGATATAATTCTGTATAATACGAGTAAATAACAATTTTGTTTACAGGTATTCGATCAACAAATCCAAGAGTCCGCTTTGGTGAACTTGAAAGAAACTTTATGCTCATATCTTAAGGAAGCTCAGCCCTGTGCTCATTATTATAATAACAAAGTGTGGGAATATTTATTTTACTCTCCCTAAAATATATTTTATTGGCTTATATTTATTTTAAAAATTACTTTTTTGTTTTATTGTAATAAGTCTATCTTCTTAATATATAAAAATTAATGATTTTTTGTTCGTATTTTATGCACTGCCATACCGTTCATCAGATTGCGCTGACAGTTTGTCAACTTATTGCTTGCACTTGCGCAAAGTACATAATATGCAATTATTATTATAGGCAGAGTACAAATTAACTTACAGTAGGTGGCGCGCATATCATACCGACAAATTTAATTGAATGTTATATATTATTCAATTTCAATGAATGTAATATCATTCCTAACTAAACAATATAACACAAATTTAAAACGATATTTCCACAATTTTTTCAACGCTATTCAATTTTAAGAAGTCGTTAAGTCATGGTGTCACAGTCACTTACACTTAAAGTGATAGAGACAGCACGATATTTAACGGCATCATAGAATTGAACAGCGTATGTGTATTTGGGCATTAGTATCTTAAAAGTGTGCTTGCCTTAAGAGTAAAGAAAATAATTAGAGGCTGTAAGGCATTCCATCTTTGTTCTCAGAGTTGACAAGGCTTCTGTTGTATTCTTTATTTGAAGTTATTTGCAGCTGTCAATGGACTGTAGTAGCCTTTACCATAACTTGGACTGTAAGTTCATTCGTCATTTTATTTTTATACTAGCAGCCCACCCCGGCTATGCTCGGGGTCTATATATATTAAGCTAAATCTGAAATATATTATACCTTTATAATTATCTGTATAGGTATAATAATCAAGGCGAGGATGGAATTACAGCGGAGCTTCTGAAAGCGGGTGGAAGACCGGTACTTGAAGTCCTTCAGAAGCTCTTTAATTCCGTCCTCCATGGTGGCATTACACCGGAGGCGTGGTGCAGAATGCGGTGATCTTGTTCTTCAAGAAAGGTGACAACGCTCTCTTGAAGAACTACAGACCGATTTCCCTTCTGAGCCGCGTCTATGTGCTGTTTTCAAGAATCATTACGAATCGTTTCGCGCGCAGATTTGACGACTTCCAGCCTCCCGAAGAAGCCGGTTTCCGAAAGGGCTTTAGCACCATAGACCACATACATACCCTTCGGCAAATTGTACAGAAATCCAAAGAGTAGAATTTGCCACTATGTCTGGCGTATGTGGACTATGAGAAAGCCTTTGATTCCGTCGAAATTTGGGCGGTGCTGCAGTCCATTCAGCGCTGCCAAGTTGACTGTCGGTATATCGAAGTGCTGAAGTGTTGGTACAATAGAGCTACGATGGCTATCCGAGTACAGAACCAGAGTACGAAACCTATCCAATTGCAGAGAGGTGTAAGATAGGGTGACGTCATATCCCCGAAACTCTTTACCGCTGCATTGGAAGATGTTTTCAAGCTTCTGGACTGGAAAGGATACGGTATTAACATCAACGGCGAGTACATCACTCACCTTAGATTTGCCGACGATATAGTCCTTATGGCAGAATCGCTGGAGGACCTAAGCACCATGCTCAATGACCTCAATAGTGTCTCCCAACGAATAGGTCTTAGGATGAACATGGACAAAACAAAGATCATGTTTATTGTCCATGTCACACCTATGCCGGTAGTTGTTGGGAGCACTAAGCTCGAAGTTGTTGACGAGTATGTTTACCTGGGACAAATAGTCCGACTAGGTAATTCCAACTTCGAACGAGAGGACGATCGACGGATTTAACTCGGCTGGGCAGCGTTCGGGAAACAACGACACATCTTCTCGTCAGACATACCTCAAAACCTAAAACGAAATTGTACAACCAGTGCGTTTTGCCAGTGATGACTTACGAATCTGAGACGTGGTCCTTCACTGCTGGCCGTATGAGGAAGCTCAAGGTCGCTTAGCGAGCTATGGAGAGGGATATGCTCGGAGTTTCTCTGCGTGATAAACTTAGAAATGAGTATATCCGCAGTAGAACCAGAGTAACCGACATAGCCCAACGGATTAGTAAGCTGAAGTGGCAGTGGGCCGGCCATATAGCTCGAAGAACCGACAACCGATAGGGAAGAAAGGTTCTTGAGTGGCAGCCTCGTACCGGTAGTCGAAGTGTAGGGCGACCCCCACGAGATGGAGTGACGACCTAGTAAGACATGCAGGGAGTCGATGGATGCAGGTGGCTCAGGACCGTGCTTTGTGGCATTCCTTGGGGGAGGCCTATGTTCAGCAGTGGACTTATGAAAGGCTGCAATGATGATGATGATGATAGGTATAATATAATTCAGAATTAGCGTAATAGATATAACTTATTTTAAATCCCCTTCGAATAACACATTTTTGTTCCATTTTTCTGCGGCTTTAATATAAATTGATTCTCCGCATTTCCTGCCTAGATCGTAAACTAAAAGTAAATTTGCATCCTATATATATAACGTGTACGTATATATATATATATATATATATATATATATATATATATATCTATATATATATATATATATATATATATATGTTACGGCCCTCAGTTGCCCCGACAGAAGTCGACTGTACTAGGGCGCATGAGTAACATTCTCGACGGGCAACCAGAGGGTCCGGGCCCAAATGGCAATATGTAGTGGCTGCATAAACAAACACAAACTTACCGAGTTCCGGAGGTAGGGTCGACTACAAGGTACCATCAGGGGTTAGTAAATGGTAGGTGTGAGTGGTGTAAGAAGGTGTATAAATGTAACCTGACGTCACCGATGTAATCGGGCAGCAAACCTACATGCGTTGCTCTGCTCCACAATGTTCGATCACTCCAGTGGGCGTTCACCGTTATCTGAACTCAAGTCTAACGTCACTTAGCACAAAATTATAACCGAAGACGAACGCGATCTCTTCTCGGTTCACAAATTCTTAGCGTTCTACCAGACAAAGGAAAAATGCCTTCGTACGATATTAAAATGCCATAAAAGCAACTCGTCGACGCAAATTAATGTCAATCGAAGTTAAGTTAATCACTCAAAACTTAAGGAAAGATATATATATATACGTATTCATAATATATATCATATGTCCATCTGGAATAATGTACCATTCAAATTTTGAAATAACTTTTCAAATAAGCTTGGCGTGCTCAGCAGAGCGGGACAGTATTTCATGCCGGCACACCGCCTGCAACTTTACAAGGCGCAGGTTCGGCCTCACATGGAATACTGTTCCCATCTCTGGGCAGGGGCTCCCCAGTGCCAGCTCCTTCCACTTGACCGCATCCAGCGCAGAGCGGCTCGAATCGTCGACGACCGAGCCCTTTCCGATCGGCTCGATTCATTGGCACTGCGAAGAGATGTTGCATCTCTTTGCATTTTCTTTCGCATCTACCATGGGGAGTGCTCTGAGGAATTGTTCGGATTAATCCCAGCCGCCAAATTTCACGAACGCACATCGCGGCAGAACTCCCGATACCATCCACACCATCTGGATGATTGGCGGTCCACCACTGTGCGATTTAGAAGATGTTTTCTTCCTCGCACAACTTCCTTGTGGAATAGTTTACCACCAGGGATTTTTCCGGACCGATACGACTTAGGGACCTTCAAGAAAAGAGCCTACTCCTTTTTAAAAGGCCGGCAACGCATCTGCAATTCCCCTGGTGTTGCGGTTGTTCATGGGCGGCGGTAGTCACTTACCATCAGGTGAGCCGCATGCTCGTTTGCCCCCTCTCCTATAAAAAAAAAAAAAAAAATAAGTGTAGTGGTTCCGGAGATTACCCTGCACATATTTTTCTTTATAATATAAGTTTAGATTGTGAGTTATTCTAAGAAGATAGACGTATGCTGTTGGACATTTTATGTAGAACCCTTTAAGGGGAACAATTCAGCTATACATTATTTTCATCCAACTTTAACCATTGATGCAGCACACGATGTGGAAGCTCTCAAGAGGCACGACTTATACCGACTTTGTTGACAAATATCATCAAAACTTTTAGTCACAATATAAATATATACACATGACATATAGCGTATGTCCATCTAGAATAATGTACCTTTCAAATGGTGAAAGAAATATTAAAATAAGTGCAATGGTTCCGGAGATTACCCTCCACATATATACAAACTCACAAAATTCGCACTCTTTCTTTATAATCTTTATATATAAAAATTACGTGTCACATTGTTTGTCCGCAATGAACTTTTAAACTCCTGGAACTGATTACAATGAAATTTTGCATAGTGTGCAGTTTGGTCCAACTTGAAAGATAAAATAGTTCTTATCCCGTTAAGTGACCCTCAGTATTTTCTATTGGTAATTTAAGGATTTTTATAGGACAAAGTCGAAGAGGGCAGTACGACTTCTGCCTGGCCAGCTAGTATTAGTATAGAAAGGTAAGCCGCATGCTCATATGCCCCCTCTTCTATAAAAAATAAATAAAACATAAATTAAAAATAAACTTTATAATGAAAAATATATACTTTTTAAATATGTTTATTGTTCACTTAACTTTATATTAACTTGTCCTATAGCAGATAGCAAAATAAAGTCTATGATATGTATTGCACTAATTTATGTAACTTATTACATTTGAGAAAGGCACTCTTTTTACGATATTTATTTAATTTATGATGGCGAGTTTTCTATGATCCAACGATGATAATGAGCGATATTGGTGTAAACGCTGGGAACTCCTTCACTGCCGCAGTTCTCGGAGCCAAAAGACACGATGCCGATCTGTAAAAAAATATTTAAACTGTAGGTGTGTTTTATAAAAATCAAGCCAGAATTAGCTTGCATACATACTAGGAACTATGGAATCAATGAACTTATGTAATAAGGTTGTCATTAAATAAATAATTTAAAAAAATCAAATGGACAAACAAACCCATTCACTGCAACGAGAAGACTACATCTATGATAAAGAAATGTTATTCCGCTTACAATGATATAAAAAATCGATTTTACTTTTCGAAATAAGAAATTCCGAAAAAGAAACATTATTGTATTCAAAGCTATTTATTTACAGAAAGCAGGAATTGTGTATTTGGAAAAAAAGGTCGTCGAAATAAGATGTCATTTTGTTATTAAATATTATATATTTAACATGTTTACTACACGTACGCCCCACTACTGAGCACAGGAATCTCAACAAGGAACAGTTATATAATAAAGAGCACGTAATAAATCAGCACTTAACTTAGTTTCAGCGGTGCCGTTGAAGATTAAGCTCGAGCTGCTTGTGTACCTACTGTAAAATTTAAGGTGACCGAATAGCTACTGAACTATAACCGCTCGTTTTCTGTTACAAAATATAAGAAACATGTAGATGTAGAGATGTAGAGGGCTCGAAAAACCTTTATCAACCGACTTCAAAAAGGAGGAGGTTCTCATTTCGTCAGAATCTTTTTATGTATGTTCACTGATTACTCGAAGACCGCCTGAACTGATTTGGAAAATTGTTTTTTCAAAGTATATACTTCCTAGTTGGTTGTACAAAATTTTTATGACTCTAAGGCAAAAAGTAAAAAAAATGCTCAACCAGCTGGTATCAATTAGTTTTTAACGCCACCAAAGTATATCAAAGTCTACTACTGAACCTCTAGGCCTTTCCCATAAATTGACCTCATATATTGCTGAACATAGTAAATAAAACTATACAGACCTCATATCATTTTGATTTAGTTAAATTTATTAATGTTTTATTTTTGTGGATTTAATTATGTTTATACGCTGTGATAGCCTTTAAATATGCTATGTACTAAGTTTCAATTTCTTTTTTTTTTATGTAGACGTCACAATGGATTCATGCTAAATATATAACAGTCTTCTTACTTGCATGTATTGTCCATCCTTGTTTATCAGTAACGGAGCTCCGCCAAAACCAGAGCAAGCATCTCTTCCCTCTTCGCCGCCCGCACACAGCTGCCCTTCATGCACTGGCACTGACTCGCCAAAGATACGTTCACACGCTTCCAAGGGTACCAATGGCACTTCTAGTTGTTGTTGCCGATTAACCTATAAGATTAACGGCCGATTTTGCAAACCTCAGATAAAATTTATTCATACGATAAAATACAACTAAACAAATTAAAAACTACAGTTGTACGAATAAAATAGTTCAGTAGTTTTACTATTTTATTTAGTCAGGTTGTAATTCATTTGATTGATAACTTTTATACGTAAAATGCAATTAATGTAAGAAGAGAAACAAAATTAGGACAAAAGATGTAAAAAATAATAGTTTCTTAAATTAACCGCTTTCAGATAATATATACAAATACAATAGAATAGAATAATTTTTTATTCAATATTGATTATTACATAATACTTATTGAAAGTCATTTTTTATTTACCACTGGTTCGGAAAATACCTCAATCCTGGGAAGAACCAGCAAAAAACCCACTTTTTTTTTAAACATAATTTCACTTAACAATAATTTTGTTTATACAATTTGTAAATGATTTTTCATAGAACCAGCATGGTGGCGATCACCCTATTCCCAGGGGTTATTTTCATTCATGTATTCCTTGATATTATAATAACCCTTTTTGTACAGTTTTTCTTTAATAAAACTTTTAAACTTGTTTATTGACAAACTTTGAATATGTTCTGGGAGTTTGTTGTAAAAGCGTATACATTGCCCCATAAATGAATTACTGATTCTGTGGAGTCTAGTAACTGGCATTACAAGCTTATGTTTGTTCCAAACAACTCTATTGTCAGCAAATACATACGTATGTTCCATGTCACTGAGCGAGTTGCTTGATCCATGATTCGGACATTGCATTAGGCTACTTTCTCAGAACTGTGACTTTCGCGATTGATGTCACCGAATAGTAGTTGTACGCGCAAAGTAAGTGCATCGCAAGATTACGAACGCGGCGTGTGCACATATACGGCCGCTTTCGAAGTCAATGCGGCCGCCACACCTCTATCAATCCAACATAACTAGGATAACTGAGATTAAATTGATCTAAAACCACACGGTTCTCCGACTTAGTTAACGATTAAACAAGTACGCAGTAGTGCACCATCAAGAGCAATTTTCGCCTAATACGACCATACATAATACAAATGACGAGGTAGAAGTAGTAGTAGTAGAAGAAGAGAAGTATTCTGTCCAGTCCTGTTTCCAGGATAAGTCAATCGGGACAAGTCTCCTCTCCCTTTCTTCGAACTTCACTTAACCCCAGAACGTGCTATGTTACATTCTTTAACTTTACTTCTAATTCTGCAATGTTCTCGTCGTGCCGCAGAGTTCGTCCATTGTACGTCGCCAGGTCCAGTTTGTGGTGGTATCCTGCCCACTCCCGGTGTTTTTTAGCATCCCCGATCCCTAAATTGAAGACAGTGTATTTTTGGTGCTTACCATTGGGAGGTTTTGCTTTGTATTGTTACACATATGACTAAAATTGAAGTGTCTTTCCGTAGTATCGAAATAATTGCTTTATATTGAGCTGACGGGGATTATGCCTGTAATTAATACTGTCTGCGCATTCGCTTGTATTAATTACATGTCACGTAATGGTATTATGCGTTAACAAAGATAACTCTAACATACCATGTTACTCTGTCCAGATAATTTGCCCCATCCGACGAGCGTGGAACGATCGTTGATCACGATTTCCGGCTTATCGTTGAGGCAAATCGGCGCTGCTGTCACTGAAAAAAGTCATACATAATTAGACTGGCAACAATATGCTTACTGATTTGTAACTGGACAAAAGATGAATTTCAAGGTCATATTACACATACTAATACGTTAAATATGATATGTTCCTATGAGCACAAATAAATATTTTAAAGCCTATTATTAAAAGAAAATTCTATTATGCCAGACAAAACAAATAAATTACACAGAATTTAAAGTTAACGCTTTCCTCGTCACACGAGTCATATTATACTCATGACAAATTACGCAAAAAAATGTGTAGTATAAAATATCACCGATATTTGTGACAATTAAGATTAATTTGCATTTTTCCTATTAAGAGTATTCGATAATTGAAAATTGCAAACGTCGGAAAAACAAACGATCAAGTGACAAAAATTAAGAAAGATTTTGTACTTAGTTATTATTTTTTTCAAAAATTATTTAGGAAAACCTATTACGTGGGTATCAGTACTTAGTGTAGCCCCCTCTAGCTCTTTTAATTGCCTCCAGTCTCCTTGGCATACTAATCTAAACTTTTTTCCGATCATTTTTAAGATCTCTCTAATTAGCGAGGTCAGGATTTCTTTTCTTTATTTGCCTTCCAAAATTGTCTCATACTTGTTCTACGTGGGGGTTTAAGTCGGACGAGCGCGCTGGCCACCGCATTTATTTCAACGTCTCGTAGGTATCCGACAACTACAGTACAATCAAGATAAAAATTTCAACAAAACCTAAATTAAAACTCAATTTCATAAGTTAGCAAAATTTTTCGGAGTGTGAAAAATTCTCACGCAATAATAACATAAAACAAATAAAATCCAAAAAAAAAAAACATTCCAAAACTTTATTTTCTTTAATAGCATTAATTATCGTTTGTGGACAATACGTACTATAATTACAACAGGAGAAATTAATCTTTTTTTTTGCGTTCCCCTAAATTTGTCCATGAGTGTATATGAATATTTCGATTGTTTCACTACTAGTATTGTGTCTGTTTCACGGACAGGGAAACTTTTAACATTACTAAAATTCGCGACTCCAAATTAATGTCTAGTCGGCGTTTTATTTTATTTATTTATTTTATTCTTTATTGTATACCAAAATACAAACAAACGAGTACAGTTAAATCTAAAGTAGAATATGTAAAACAGGCGGTCTTATCACTCTGAAAGTGATCTCTTCCAGACAACCATAGTGTAGAGAACTGGTGCAAACAATATAATACGTGAGGGTAATATGGTCATCCGGTTAATATGCTCACTTTTTTATAACTCAAAAACTACAGCCTTATTTGCTAGTGATAGTGATATCTTTTGCGATAGCTTTTCATTAGTCATTCAAATAATAAACGGTCAAAAGGGCGACGCTTTACCGACGCCATTTTGACAGTTGATATTATAGTAAATATTTTAGGCGATTTTAGTATTGGGTAGTGTAGTTCTAAGTGTTCCTAATTATTGCCAAGGCTTGTTTGCTATTTTTTTCTTAATATATAAGTTATAGTATACGAAACTGTGTATTTGTCTCTGTCCTCCTAGTTTTAGTTCTATAGAGTGGCAAAGCTTAGTGTGATGTAATGTTTACACTCACTTACCTTAGTTAAAAATAGAGAGGGGCGTACAAAATAAAAATAAAAATATGAAAATACATATAAATAAAGATAAGTGAAGATTATGTATTGTTGTATGTAAAAGTATGATATCATATAATAAATGAAATGACGAGGTACGAAAAAGGAAAGGTAATCTAATAGCGTTCTAAGTAATACGATTTAACAAGACTTTGGAAAGAATGAAGAGATTGAGCACGACGAATGTGGAGAGGTAAAGAATTCCACAAACGTACAACAGTTACAGTAAAGGATTTCTTAAAAAAGGACGAAGAGTGCGAAGAAGTAGAGAGAGAAAGATTGACAGAGGATCGAAGGAACCGATTATGGGTTAGGGAGAGATACTGGAAACGGTCTTTTAAATAATGAGGAGTGGAAGGGTTAAACAGCACGCCATACAAAGCGGAGAGAATGTGAGTATACCTGCGAAGGCGGATCGGGAGCCATTTGAGCTGTTTGCGAAATTCAGAGATATGGTAATATTTGCGTTTTCTTATTTATTAAAGTTCAATTATTTACCTTTTCGAGTAGACTAAGGAATATCAAAAGCTTAAATAGTTATATAATACTAAAATTTATAAGGAGCACCTATAAACATCCTATATATTATAGGACCACATCTAAAGTATAATGTATTTAATAAAATAATAATAATTAAAATCGGTCAACCATTTTTAGTCGGTTAAAAAAGGCAACACACCGGCAATGTGTATATACATACTCGAATCACTTTCGAACCCCCCAAAATTTCTTTTGTCAATCTGCTGCAATCAACTGATTCACTCATCTAAAACTTAGGCCATTTCCATGTTACTTAGAAACATAACATTTGGTATCAGGATATTTGTGTTCTTTTTAAAGACGTTACCCCCGCACTAGAATTGTCTCCTGTATCGAGGAGGCAGTTTACAAACATACGAAGACAAACATCCAGACCCAGAACAATTATTTGCAGATCATACTAATACTTGCTCCGTGCGAGATTCGAATCCGCGGCCCTCAGCGCTGCAACTCGGAGTCGAAATTAGCGCTATCTTTATCAATACTCGATGTCTAAAGGTGATCACAAAGTTATCGGTGAGGTAACTTTGAGTAACTTCTTTAGGATCAACAGGCCCTATGAATTATGCAAGTGCTACACTAGCTCGGTGCTCGTGAAAATCACAATTTTTATCGGCGAAGTAAACTACCTCGAACTACAAAATAAATAATAGTACTGCCCGAATGTCGTTTGTTTTGAACTTGGACCCATTTTACATTTATGTTTTTAGGGTTTTTGTTTGTCACTAAAATCTTAAAGTAATCATTCTTGCAGTTAAAATTTTATCCTATATCGTCCCTTTTAGACCGAGTTTTTTCAACACAAAATACCATATTTTAGATTAAATTAAATAACTTGGAATACCTTATTTTAATACTCACCAGAATATTTTATATCGTCCTTGAGAACTATTAGGGCGATGTCATGTCTAAATATTTTCTGCTCATAGCCTGGATGCACTATAACGTTATCCACCTTAATGGCCTGCGTGACAGGAGCGCAGAAGTAGTCGTTACAATCTGGACTCCGGCTTGTATCCCACTCTCCGACTACCACAGTAGATCTATGAACAGAAAAAGAAAAAGGTAATCAGTATACAACTAAAAGTGTATATATTGCCTTGTAATTATAACTTTTTACTATTACTATTTACTATTTAACGATTTTGCTATTATTGCAACATATCATTGAAAAAATGTACAGCTCTAACTAATACAAATTGGCTCTTAGTGAATATTCATAATATTCATTTGTTAATATTCATTATACGGTACCATACAATAACAAGTAACTCTTTAAAATAATAATTTTGATTTGAAACATAAGAATCCACCACTCCAACTACCTGCGTGTTTGTTGTAGACGGCACTAAGGTTTTTTTTAGGTTAAGGGACACGAGCACACAGTCCACCTGATGGTAAGCGGTTGCTGCGGCCCATAGACATCTACATCTATCCTCTATTACAAATCAAAATGCAGATGCGTTGTCACCCGTGAGGATTAAGATGGAATGCCTCATTTCCAGTAAAAAGGGCCTCCGGCCACCTGCACTCACCAAGCGAAACTCAGAGGTAAACCTCTACTTCACGCTGGTATTCTGTGAGGTCGTGGTACCAACTCGGTTCGAGCCGGCCCATCCGTGCAACAGCAAAAGCTGCCGCGTGACTCTACCACTGTTGAAAATACGTAAATACGAAAAACAATACGTATCATTACTAACCAGTGAGTTTTTGGAATAAATATCTCAAAATGTGTTACATTGCCACATACACAACAGGCAGTGGAATAGACACTGTACATGTGTAATGTGTATGCGATAACAAGTTTATAAATCCTACTTACAATTTATAACCCTCAGGCTTGGCCAAAGCGCAATGCGCTGCTGTCAGGATAACCCTCTTGGCTATAATCGAACCACTACACGCAAATCGTACATTACCCGTATCTTTGTCTGAAATCAAAAATACATAATATATTTAAATAAAACTAATTTTACGGATTTTATCGCGTATATTAACTTATTTTATATTCCCGATGTTTCAAGCACTTTACATCACCCATGGTCACGGGGGGGACTGAGGTGTATGACGTCCCAATGTCATAGTTAACCACGGCTACCTCCAGATTAAAAATTATTAATTTTTGTTCCGATCTACGCAGTATGAACTTACAGTATCATGAATTCTTGCAGTTGTATGCTTGGGTTGGGATTTAATTTTATTAATTATGGGATCCCAAGCAGATCGTAGCACCCAGCCATCTTCTCTATTGAAATTAGGATGTTTTTTGATTTCAATGGCCTCGCGAATCATCCTTGGAAGAAATCGGTGTTCTTTAGCGAGGATTTGTGGTCTATCAAATCTAATGTAGTGACGGGGGCGATCCTGTACGTGTTCACAGACTGCAGACTTCCCGGAGCGTCGATTCTTCATATCAGCTATGTGTTCTTTAACGCGGGTTTTTATGGATCTTTTAGTTTGTCCTATATAAGAGAGACCACATTCACAATCAAGCTTGTACACTCCTACATCTTGCAGAGGAATATTACACTTGACTGATGGTAAAAAAATCCGTAAAATTTGTTTCATTTAAATGTGTAGTGTTCGCGTAAATATAAGAAATCATTATACATAATATAATCACATAATAAATATACAATGTCATAAATACATGGTTCACAAAGTCCCAGACTTTCGGAGTACATCTGAATAGACCATGTACTATCTGGACCAGTAGGCGTCACTTTCTAGTACATTGAGTCGTATGTTTTAATCAGTTAATACTTAATCTATGGTTTTAATCTTCGAAGTAATATATACTTACGTATATTACATAATATCTTAATGGCTTTAAGAGACGTTGTATCCCTTATAGAAAAGCTATATAAAATTGGAGTACTAGCCACGAGGTCGTCAGTTTATGAAATATGGTTTGAGAAAAGCAAAATATTAATAAATCTAAATCCAAAAACTAATTATTATCGAGTTCTAAAATTGTCAGCATAAACTAGAATTAGCAAGAACTATTCACGGCTTATCCAACTAATGCTGACTAATAATAATGTCCTCCAGACCGAATTTCGGTCACGGCGACCAGCCTCAACGGAGACTAGCCATCGGCGCAGGACAGGATTATAGTGTCCAAGTGTATGCGCAAGCACAGGTGCACTCTCTATCCCTCACCCTCATAATCCGATGGGACGGTAAACCGACACGACCGGAGAGAGATCAGGTTCTGGACCAACGGCTTTACGTGCTTTGCGAGGCACGGGGTGAGACACCGCCAACTTCCTGACTCCGGGAAGCTACTGTAAATTTCTTGACGGAAAAACTCAATAACTGATTTTTTGTCCCAACCCGGGATTCGAACCCGGGACGTCAAGATCAGCAGCCGCATTACTACACTAGACCAACGAGCCAGCCAATGCTGACTATTATCTATTCAAATAGTACGTTTACGCTCGGCATAAGTTGATGAAGAAACATTGATTTTCAGCGCATCGCACTTAATGTTTTAGGCTGATAGTGTATGAAGACATTAATAAAAAAATAATATTTTAATAAAATTATCTAGTTTACAACATGAAGCGAAATGCAGTACTTATGTAGTATTAAATGGTATAACAATTAATTGACGTGAAAAGGTAGACTGTGTACTCATTTGTCACTCTTGTTCCATAAAAAAATACACAAGTATTTAGCAAAAAATTCAGCAAAAGCGTGGCTGCAGCAGGCATAATAACAGTTTCCTACATTGTAAATAACGTGATAACAGATTTTAATACTTTTAATAAAAGATTAAATTTCAAAAAGCTTATTTTATATAACGAACGTCGACTAGCCGCCTAAATGAACAATGCATACATTACTCACTCGTAAAGCCAATTCTTGCGACCCATGGATGCATCCCAATGCCTTTGTAGCCATTGCCTTTAACCATACTTCGTCCGCACTCCTCTGTACCCTCCGGATACACACGAGAGCATTCACAAGACGGACAGCAAACATAGTCCTCGTCGTCATTATTACCGCAAGTCAACTCATTGAGACGGTGAAAGTATCTAGAAAAATAGATCTGCATTGATTTTTTTCGCAGCATTGTAGAGGATGGTTAGGATTTCAAAATCTTTTTAATATGATGAATTTTCGAGAGACGCCGAACTGCTCCCATGTGTGTTAGCGGTTTTCACACACCTCTAAAATATTAACAGGCCCTCGAAATATTTATTATTATTGGTTCTATCTACTTATTTATTGTAGCCCAAAAAGTTCTCATTGCCTCATAGGGGAGTTTTGGCATAGTTGCCACACTTGGTTGCAACCGCAGTTTTTATGATTTAAGTTGTTATCTGAAAGATGCCGCTGCCCATTTTTTGTTTCAGTTTCCTTCAGTCCCGTCCTACGACACCCACGGGATGATATGGGATAGTGGATATTCTAACACCCCACCTACACGGTTTCGTATTATTATTGATTTGCATATTTGATTTTAATCTCAAAAGTTGTTATTTAAACTGTTAAGCCGTTACGTATACATTTTATGACGAAGATGATTAAATTGGTTTCTTCTGATAATTAATGGATATAGTATCTGAGTGATTGTACTAACAGCACCAATGAAATTGTTAATTGCAATTCTACAAGGCGGACCTAAATACTTTTCTGTTTAGGAATCCGTCTGGTTAATCACCACTCTCTTACCTCCTGCAGTCTCCAAACAGCATTGCGTACACTGTTGTAATCCGACCTGAAGGGTATAGAAAGTAAGCATAGTTACAGGATGTGAGGCATTTCATCTTAGTTCTCAAAAGTGACCACGCATCTGTAACTTTCTTTGAAGGTGATTGGAGGTGTGTAATCCGTGTAATCCACTTTTAAGTGGACCATGGGTTACACGCTCACCATCCGGTGGACTGTGGTTTCGATTGTCATTTTAGTTTTATAAATAAAAATTAAATTATCAAGAAAGTGTATGAGGTGTATGCCCAGTAGAAAAACATATTCATATGTAGGCGGTTATTTTACAATACTTTTTATTATCCCGCGGTAGTCTAGTGCTCAACATCCTTAAAGGGAGACACTCTAAAAGCTTTTCTTACTTATCAGAAGAGAAACAGGCAAAATCCATCAAGTCTTCTAACATAGGACAGGAGCTAATCGGCACACACGAAGTATTAAGTGGACATCGTCCCTGAAATTTAGTTTATTTTTATTAAATAAAAATTGTATTATTTAAAAAAGAAAAAAATTAAGTCGATGTCTTTAATCGCAGAAAAATTCTATCAAAATTATGCAAAACTCACTTTAAAATGAATAGCTTCGTTTTCAGAACGCCGCATGTCTAAACTTATGGATACAGCTGAAAAAAAACACAATACTTTCATTATATATAAGTCCACTGCTAAACATAGGCATCTCCCAGAGATTGCCCCATAAGAGGAATATTTACCGTAGTTGCCACGCTTGGCAGGTGGGTTAGCAATCGCAGTTTCTTAATTTTTTTAGGTGTTCATAGGCAGATGCTTCTGCCCGTCTCCTGGTTTCTTTCCCTGTGTCGCCTCTTACGACAACCATGAGATGATATATTGTAGTGAATATTTTTACACCGCTAATACTATTAGTCATTGTTAAGAAATAAATAATTTAAATATTTTTGATTTTTATGGCTCGGTGGCGCATAGGGTAGACGTTTTGTTCGGAGCCTCGAGCCGCGGGTTGAAACCCGCACTAAAGAAGTGTTTGTATGGCCTACAAATAATTATCGTTGTAAACCGGATTAGAATATTATTTAGAACACTACGCTGGAATAGTTGGAACCTTGATAGCGCTGCGGGTGAAGTAAATTGAGCAAAAGCATGGCTATACGTGGTAGAGCCATACTGCAGCTATATTAGTAGTATAGTTGTAGCACGAATGGGTGGGCTCGACCGGGAAAGAACTACGCTCGCACAGAACACCAGCGTAAAATCGTAGTTTGACACTACACTAATGTGTTTCGTATGGTGAGTGTAGAGAAACGGAGACCCATTTTACTGGAAAATAGGCATTCTATCTTAGTCCTCACGGGTGACGTCGCATCTGCATTTTGATTCTTTATTTAGGATAAATGTAGATGTCTATGGGTCACAGCAACCACTTACCATCAAATGGACTATGTGCTCGTTTGTCACCCTGTGCTATAAAAAAAGTACTATTGCAAAGCATCGCTCCCATTCACAAGGCCGAACTTTTACGGTCGAGCCGACCCCTTCGTACTTCAACAATTATTGAGATGCAGCGTGGCTCTACCACTAAAAAAATACGGGTGAGTCTACATCATTATGCTGTTCTGATTTTATAAACGCTATGGTAATATTTTGCCGTTATTTAATGGATTATTTGGCTATTAAATTGAACTATCTAATGACACATAATATGTGATATATTATGGTTTTTGCTTTGTGTCATCAATGCCATATTCTGTTCGATTATTATTTCTGTCAACCTTGGCAAAAGGTAATATCAGGTCCCCGCGAGGTTACTGCATTGTATCATCGGCAATTACATGATCCAGTTGCACATTATTTTCGTTTTTATACTAGCTCTAGCTCTCATGGAGAACCAAATTAATATTATTAACAACCCAAGCTCGTAATGGCCCCATCATTATGATTTATTTAAACTTATTTATTTATTTATTTAAACTTTTATGCACAAAAAATAAAATCGTACATATGGCGGACTTAATGACCTTAGGCATTCTCTCCCAGTCTGCCATTAGGCTAAGCAGAGATAAACATATGGGAGGTAGTGCAGCAAAAGTAAACTAATAATGAGAGAAAAACGTAACAAGGTTATTTATTGTATAAAAAATGTTGCAGTGTTAATCACTTCAATGACCGGTAAAATATTAAAGGAAATTGATAAAAGCAACTATTAAAAACAAGTTCTGTGTTTTATTGATGATATTGTTATGAGAATAATGCGCAATACCCTTTCTCTTAGGATCCGAAGTAATTTATGTGAAACTCATATGTTTTATTCGGTTGAAATTCCTAGGACCTATATGGCCATTAGACTGGTCATCTCCATTATTGTGTAAATTACCTGCCGCCTATAAAACCTGCTGGGCTTCTTTTTTTTCACAAACAAAAAAACATTAAAATTACTTACTTCCGAATTGTGCGTTAACTTCCCACGTAAAAGACAAAATCCAAAATAGTAATGTATGTCCCGACATTTTCAAAACGTTTAAGAATAATTTCACACAATTCAATCGCAAAACATCGTTGAAATTAAAATACCAATCGTATATAAAATCTAGATTTCACACGACCATTTTCCCGTAATATAATAGACTGCGCCGGCGTTGGAATCCACGACGAAAATGATACAATACAATGCCATAAAAATTTCAAGCAACATGAGTCAGGGGTAACAAACCTTTCAGGATACCTTATAACTATATTTTGACAATTTACTTAGAATCAATTTTGTATTATTATCTATTGCCATTCGTAATTTACATATTCTCTTTATTGGAAAATATATATTACATACTCATATAAGTCTCTGATGATCTGTATTCTCCACCACGTGGCTATATTACATCAAGTGTTCCAGATTGGAACATCCACCGGAGTTTATGCAAAAGTACGAATGTCTGATTTTCGATTTGATATTTAGAATATGTTTTGATTGTGCGTGTCCTTGACACTGCACCTATAGATAAGGGGAAAACTGACTAAGGAATACTGTTTCCCCTTATCAGGATATAAGTATTCTGCGGGTCCTTCCATTTTGAATCCTAGACCCAACAACATTTGGTTTCAACAAATTATTAGATTTCTGTTCTTCTGGTACTGTGACAATAGTCGTGTTTCTGCTGCTACATGCTGGCCTTTCTATGCTCTTATCACTACTCGTTTTTGAGAATTTCTACTTCTATTTCACCAGCCCTTAAAAGTCCACTGCTGGACTTCTTTTTCCTGTTGAAGTGAGTATTTACCTTCATCATGCTTGGCAGACGAAATGACATTTATACATTGGTATTTTTAGACTTTTGAAAAAATATAGTTTCATGAGGAAAAAAGTTTCAAGTACATAGTATTAGACATTCTCAAGAAAATATGTAAATTAAAAATTATATATCTAATATCATTTAAAACGTATTTGTTCGTTATATAAAATATATTTATTTATTTATTTATTCTTTATTAAATTCCTTAAAACAAAAGAATAATAAGGGCGGACTTAATGCCTTGAGGCATTCTCTACCATTCAACCCATAGTGTGGTGAGAATTAGACGTAGGTGTAGCAGCAATAGAATAAAAACAAAAAAATATATTTAATTACGATATATATATACATTTTACTAATATATAAAATAAATAAACTATACAAATATCTCCTATACATACATGTATAGAAATTAATATGATGATATTAATATAGGTATACATATAAATAGTACATATAAATAACTAAGAATATACACGTCTGTTAAAAATATAAATGACGTGGATGATTCATAGATGATTACGCACCAACTTCGTAAAAGTATACTTATTGGGAGCTTTTCTTATGTCATCGGGCAAGGAGTTCCAAAGGATTTATCTTATTATCTCTTTCAGTTCATTTTTCTCCATGAAAAGGTTGTTTATAATTTAAAAAATTGTTTATAATCTCTGATGTAATATAAAATCTCCACTATGTACAAATTTCTGTTTCTGCTTTTGATCTGATTTAGTATGTCAGCAGCACCTCACGTATATATATATATATATAGGTATTAAAAGTAAAATAGTAAATTCTAATAGGTATTGTTTTAAGCAGGATGATAGATACAAAAAGTTAACAACAATTAACTCTTTGTAACAAACATCCTGAGCTTTTCAATACACAACGTGAAACGAAATTAAATGTGTAAATATTTTTTTTAATCCTTCGTAATACCTATTTCATTTGTAAAAGTAAGTTTAGGTCACGACTATAAAGCAATAAGGGTTATTTTAATATAAAAGTTCTCTTTTTTGTATAAGCCAAAATTAGATCTTCGAGTATTACACAATCGATCACACAGAGCACTATTACTCTCTGCCGAGAGCAATTGTATGTTCTTCGATTGCACAATCGAATCAATTTATTTTTCAATTACTTATAACAAAAGACCCGCCTACAACTTTTTTTTTAATTATGATAAAACATTTTCACAGATTGACCGATAGACAGGCAAAAACTGACGCATCTGATTCAACACAGACCAAACGAACCGTAGCCGTGTAATCTTCGGAAAAATCTCTTTTTTATTGTTATTCCTTTGTTAAACTTGGTTTTTGTTCAATGCGATGTCATTAACATCAGTTGATCGTAGCAGTCTCACTATATCTTATCTGGTACAATTTATTAGTCGCTATTTATTTATGATAGTTTCCATTATTTTAGGCTCTCACAGACAATAATTGTTTGCCCGAAACAAACAAAAGAAAAAAAAACAATTACATCCTTTACACATCTTGTCAATATGTATTTACATCATTAGGAACTACTTATTATTTAAAGATAAAAAAACCATGTATAATATGAAATCTGAATCAAAAGCAAGTAGTTATTTTTTCTACGTTAACTCGGGTAATTTCTGTTCTCGTCGTTCGTATGTTCTTTTTTTAATTACCTTATTTCAGCTACTAGTCGTCACAGGTCATCATCATCATGAAAATTATTATAAATCATCAAGGCATATACTGGTATAATAAATTTGTACGTGGTAGAGCCATGTTGCAGCTATATTATGGTTGTGGCAAGAATGGATCGGCTCGATCGGGGAAGGACCACTCTCTCACAGAATACCCACCAGCGCAAAATAGTAGCTCAATGCTGCTGTGTTTTGTATAGTGGGTGTAGAGAACCGGAGATCCTTTTTACTGGATACGAGGTGTAACTTTCCCCCGATTCCATATATAAGTAAATAGCCTTCTGTTATATATATTAAAAAAAATATTAAGTATACAAATATTACGTGATCAAGATAAAAAAGATAGGAAGTGTTCCCTTTATTTATTATCTTGATAATTTTCTTCTTAGTAGTCTCATTGGTAAGACTACTGAGAAATTTTCTTCCCAATAGTCTTACTAAATAGTCCTTCAGGTGAGATTACTGGGATTTCTTACCAAGTAGACCTAACTGGTGAGATCACTGAGGTAGTGATGAAAAAATCCTTTTATTTTATAGAGTAGGAGTACTGCGAATACCCCAAATATAGATCTTTCCCAAGAATAGAGGTTACTTATATGTCATTTGTCATATTTATGGCATGTTTGTATTAGTAAGGACCATAATTTACGTTGTGTTTGTTTGTAACTTAGTTCTTTTAGGTGTCGCTTTTAAGAATGAATATTGACTAGAACACTAAAGCCGTTGGTAGTGCCTTATAATTATTTTAAGCTAAAGAACCCTGTTCACGAAGAAAGGACTCAAAAGGTTAAGAACATTAAATCGTCCCTATTCTATTATAAAATAAACAGCATACAAGTGGCAAAATTTAAAATTTTGTACAACCGACTTCAATATCAATAAAATGAGTACATCATCAATGTCGTCGAAGTCAATTAAATACGCATTATAAAGGATAACTCAAAACTTACTGGTAAGATCTTAAGAAAAGATGAAATGTCTCCCATTCTGATGGTTAGTAACGAATCGCAAATTCATCAAATTCTAAACTCCGCCTGACTAGTTATTATGTGCCTGGCAATTTGGTATAATTTTTTTTTTATATTTTGGTCTTTTCTCAGAAAATTCCTCATTTATTCATAAGCTTAACTGTGTTTTATAACAAATTTACATATATTAACGTATTATGATATTTGGAGCTTTTATTATGTCATATAACTCTAATAAATATGCAAAGATTATAAGAGCTGATTTTCTGCAAATTAATATCATGACCTTGGTATTGGCGTAAATAATGTGATCATTAAATGGTTCATCCCATTAAAATATACCTGCCGGCTTATGACCAACCTATCAAACAAAATTACGACGTAATTAATATTGTACTGATTTATGTTTTATATACCTTTGAACATGCCTTCCTCTTAATACACTGAATAAAAAATTGACATTTTTTTTTTGATTGAGTGTACATCCAAAATCTTAGTAAACATAAAGTTAAATAAGTGATTTAACATTAATAACGCAGAATATTAGGAGCAAAGAGATTTAAATATATAGGTATACTATAGAGCGGGCATTGGGAACATTTATATACAAAAACTTTGAGCTAATGCACGTGTGGCACCCTCTAGCTAAAAATAGCAAAACAACGCTAAATATTTAATTTTAACAGTGGTAGAGCCACGCGGCAGGTTTTGCTGTCGCACGAATGGGCCGGCTCGAACCGGGGTAGTACCACGACCTCACAGAAAACCAGCGTGAAGTAGAGGTTTACCTCTGCGTTTCGCTTGGTGAGTGCAGGTGGCCGGAGGCCCTTTTTACTGGAAATGAGACATTCCATCTTAGTCCTCACGGGTGACAACGCATCTGCATTTTGATTTGTAACAGAGGATAGATGTACATGTCTATGGGCCGCAGCAACCACTTGCCATCAGGTGGACTGTGTGCTCGTTTGTCATCCTTATCCTATAAAAAAAAAAATTAAGACAACATTTTAGCTAATCCCCAGTAGATGACGCTAATAAATATAACGTCGTTTTAGGAACGTTACCGTTTCGATATCAAAGTATCGATAATATTGTTGAAGATTACAAAATAGGGAATATACATGATTGTTTTATTGTATAAATCTATTTATCGTGATTTCCATCACACGAAAAAAATCATATTAAATTTTTACGCCCCTTTAGTGTCATGAAATAAAATATTTAATTTCCAATAAATATTTTATATATAATAATATATAACAGCAGTCATTTTGGTTGCCACCTTGGTGGCATCTTGGATGACGTCACTCGGTCCATTAGCTGCAATAATAATAGCATATGATTGATCGGTCGGCGTTAAAGACACATCGAGAAACGCCAAATCCAATAAGAGAGCGCGTCTATGTTTTTAAATTCGTTTATAATACAAAAATACACTTCAAATCTAAAATATTATAAGCGGATAGGATATATCTCCGATTTTTGTCATTTAGACTAAGTGACATCGTCAAAAAGTCAAGACGCATTCGTTTCATATGCTTTAAAAATATTTTTAAAGAAAATATGCCAGGTTGTGC